AAATGCCTGCATTTCTCATGTTTGAGTGGTTGTTAGCAATGACTTCTTTAAATGATGGGATTTATTAGTGTTTTTAACACATTAATTTCAATTTGATGATCTGCATAACATTAATCCACTGAGTTCCTGCCAAACACGCTATGTTATAATGCACAAGTTCTATTTGTTGCTTGCCTACAGGGCATCTGCTGCTGCTTTTGTTTCCTGCTAAGGTGGCTTCTTACTGGTTGGTATAAATAGTGATCGGTTGCCATAACACAAAGAATATATATTTCCTCTGGTGAGCACATAAATGAATGAGATGAGATCCCCATTGTGGTCTTGTTGAAACTTTTCTTATCGACCAACCCATGCCCAGAATTGCACCAAGAAAACTTTTTTTGTATATTATTGGGGGGGGGGGGGGGGGGCTTCTAAATGTACTAATATCAGGTGGATCGAATTCCTTAACATTTTGTTGTGCTAACATATGATAGACATGAGCATATGACTGTATGGAGTTCCTGAGCTTAATTAAATTCTTTTTTGTGCTCAATAAAGGTCAGTCTCGATCACTTCAATACATTCAGACATTCAGTGTGATGTGAATTGAAAGGCAATAACAATCTGTAATATTAGTAGAAAACTGCGGATGTAAATATTTGTTATGTACACAGAAAATACAATCTACTCAAGCATCACGTCTGGATGTGTGAATCACAGTGTGATGGGAAGCTTGCAATGGTAGAGAGGAAATGAAAGGCTTCTTTCTAAATAAGTGAATAGACTAAATGGTTCCAAAAAATCTTGCAATTGCACGACCTTATTTGATCATCAACTTCTTGACTAATATCCATAGAAATTGCTCTTCAAATTCATATGCCTTGCAGCCTTGGTGCATACATCTACTTAACTAGTTTTTATCTCTCTAGTTATTCTACTTCTATCCCAATACTAGAATGTAAGGCATGAGATATCATAACCAAAAAACATGTCTTTTGGTTCTTAGCCTTCTCTATTCTAATCAATTTTGTTGTCACAGACAACGGCTAAGGCACTTCTTAACACAGATGATTCATCGTGTACTTTGTTTATGGCTTTGGTTTTTTTGCGCCCCACCTTTTTACAAAATTAGAAGAACCCTACTTAAGTCTAAAACTCAATGTGTATGTGTATCAGTGTATGTGCATGCACACATAATATTAGGGCCAAAAACTTTCCTTTTTATTTTTTAACAAGCCAAGGGCCATCTTTCTTCTTGATCCTACATGATAATATGTTTCAATCGATTAGATGATCGAAGAGACGTTTTGAACTGTTTGTTATGCAAGTTTAGTTACTAAAAAATACTACTTCCATCCCACTAATATTGGGACATAACGGGGTGACACAGTTATTAAAAAAAGATGAATTTATGTGGTTGATATTGAATTGATAAAGTAAGAATAAAGTAAAAATGATATAGAGTCACACAAACTTTAACAAATTTGGTATGAAATCATCTTAGTGGGGTTTTTTGAAAAAGAAAAAGAGAAAAGGTGCAAATAAGGCCACGTATTAACAAAAAAAGGTCAAATAAAGCCTTATTTAAGAGGCTCTTTACGGACCTCGCCATTTGGGGTGGTTCCCGGTGAAATTTTTTGATGAAATTTTTTGAGCATCTTATTCAGTAAGTCTAGTTTACTCATATCAAATTTCAGCTAAAACTTCAATCGGGGAGGCATTCAAATGAATTCTTGAAGATAACTGTGCAATTAAAAGAGCAGTTATCTTCAAGAATTCATTTGAATGTCTTCCCGATTGAATTTTTAGCTAAAATTTGGCATGAGTAAACTAGACTTAATGAATAAGATGGTCAAAAAATGTCATCAAAAAATTCCACTAAGAACCACCCCAAATGGCGAAGGCCGAACAGAACCTCATAAATAAGGCCTTATTTGACCTTTTTTTATTAGTACATGGCCTTATTTGTCCCTTTTCCCAAAGAAAAATGACACAATCTTAATGGGATGGAGTGAGTAGTAAATACACATTATGTGGTGCAACCTTATCCGCATTTCTGAATGTTCATCCACGTGCATAAAAAACTATATGTTGAATGTTCAACCATTGTTGAGTGGTAAAATAATATGTCTTCCAGCCGACAATGTGGCTAAATTTGACTTGGTTATAAATACTAAACTAAAAATTGCGTGATTAGAATTTATCACATGAAAATGCATGGTAAAGTTTTTTAGGATGATTAAGAATGTTGGTAAAGTTTTATGGATGAAGAAAGTATATAAAATTATTATCTTTTCGATACAAAAATGCATTTCCGTGACCACTATTTGGATAGCATGTCAAACGTTTGAAACAAAAACACCTCTCTGTAGAGCATTGAAGCCAAGTATTCTGAACTTTTTATATATCCAATTCATATTCTAGAAAACATAGACACATTTACTTCCTCTTTTGCTGATCTTCATTTAGATTTTAGTTTCAATTAATATTGAAAACTTGAAATTTTAAAATATAACAACACCCATCAAAATGGGAGTTTTTTTTTTTTGGAATACCTATAAAAGCATGCCTTATTTGGAGCCCGTTTGGTATACCCAAATCGATTGCATCGGCTGATTTTGATGAAATTTATGAAGTTCTGGATGAAGTGGCTGAATTGGCTGATTTTGCTAATTTGTGAAAAACTTATATTTAAATGTGCTTTATTAATAAAATAAATGTAAAATTATATGAAAAATAGCTAAAATGATCCTCTACAGTAACTTCATCCAATATAGTCAGAAAAGTAACTCCAACCTTACTTTTTCTTATTATTATACTCCGTACAATACAACACGAAAAATCAAATGTTACGTGTTTGGTGAAAAGGTTGACTGATAAGTCTGATAAGTCGAAAACAGTGTCACCAAACAGGCTCTTGATCTAGCAAGGAACGACGACAAAATATGTCATCGTTCCTTGCTTACCAACCAAGACTTCGTCGCTGCTAACCTCTGTGGCCGGCTCTGGGCGACGAATCCCAGCACTTGGTGACGACGATGGTGCATGACAGAGCGAGTTGAGGCGGTAAGCATGCAAGGAATGATGACAATTACGGTGGTCATTCTGTGATGGAAACTTGTGTTAGTGGCTTGTGATGATCGGAAATTTGTCCTGGCACCGATGACGTGTGATGGCGGCGGCTTGGGTTACGTTGTGCGGTGGTACAACCTACACTTGATAGTGGGACTATGGCAAGAATCTGTTCGGGCAATGGCGGATGTCAGGCTATTGATGCTGACTTCCATTGGGGCGGTGGTGTCGCCAGGGCTGTTGCAGCTATGGTGAGTGGAGGGCTGGTTTTAATGGTGGAGCAAGTCAGTGGGGTAGCGTGAATGGTATCATTGGCCTGAGACATTGAGACGGATCACAAGTCATTAAAGGGAGGGTTCACCGGAAAACAAATCCCGTCATGTCACCAACTCGAACAATGTAACTGTAACGTTGATTACTATAGCGTTAGTCGCTGTAACAATGAGTAAGGTGTGTAGGGGTGTAATTGTCCTCTTAATCCTTTTAAGTGTCGTTTTCTGAAATGTAAAAAAGACTTTTTTTATGTACTCCCCTTCCCATAAAATTCTTCTCATTTTCCCTTTTGGAAAGCTTGTGTGACTACCATTTATTTACCTTTTCTTACTCAATCACAACTATGCATTTCCACTTTATTCTTAATTTCTTAAACTTCGACCCAAGTCAAACCGGGAAGAATTTTGCGGACGGAGGGAGTATTAGTTTAATTTAAATTAATATTCTTGTCTCACCCCAATACAAAATTAGGCAGAGACCTACACCAGCAAAAAAATTGTCCCACTTGATCATTAGAGTTTTGCTAGGTGTACACAAAATGTGTACACTTTTTTCGTACACTTGTCTGTCCCCACCAGACAGACAACTCAAATTTTGTGTACAAAAAAGGTGTACACATTTTGTGTACACCACGCATTTTTCTAATCATTATCCATGGATTCATCCCTGCCGACATCCTCTAGTACTTCTGACATCATATACCTTATGCGGGGTTTATGCACCAAACCCCTCGTGAAACTAAAATTCGGCGCATTAGCCCCCTGTGATTTAAAAAATGTGTCAAACCCTCATGTGTTATAATTAATCATGCACCAAACCCCATCCAAGAACAAATTTTACAATTTTGAAATCATTTTTTATAATAGTATGGTTGAATATGCATGTATCTTTGTCAAATTTTCTAAATTATTCAAGAAAACTAACCATTTTTCATTTTTTTTGGAAATTAAGTTTGTTTTTTGAGAGGGTTTCATGCCTGATTAATTATAATACAGGGGAGTTTGATGCATTTTTTAAATTAGATGGGACTTATCCGTATTTTCTCAAACTACAGACTCCGTGTGTAAAACCCCTACAATGATGAGTAATTAGATATTAAGGGAAAAGAATTTAATAAAATCGTTACAATGATGAGTAATTAGATATTGAGGGAAAAGAATTTAATAAAATCGTAATACTCCGTGTATTATTATTATTATTATTATTATTATTATTATTATTATTATTATTATTATTATTATTATTATTATTATTATTATTATTATTATTATTATGAATAATACTCCGTAACAAAACTCCTTATCTGAAACGGTGGATTCATACCGTTTCCTTCAAAAAAGCGTATTTTTTTCTTACAGCGTTTCCTTCTTTTTGCCTTTATGTGCACATTAGTCAATCGCTTTTGATTTTCATTGCCATTAGGTCTGGCAATATCACCCGCACTCACGGATACCCGGTCAACCCGAATCGAAAATATGGATGAAAACCCGAAAAAATATGGATGAAAAATGGATAACATGTGGATTGAAAGATGGGTTGGACCGGGTGTGGATGTACACTCATCCAACCCATCACCTGAGACGCCACCCGCTCCATCCACCCACCCGCTAACCCACATATAAATATATAATATTTATTAAATAATATATATAATAATTTATATGTGTGTGTGTGTGGAACTTGGAGGGGAAGATGGTCTTCAGTCTTCAATTCCCGATCGAGGCTACTTCGCCTGTTGAAGCTGAACTGAGAGCACTTTTATTTGCATCACGTTGGGCGATTACAGTTGGGTATCAATCTTTTCAGGTTGAGACCGACTCGATGAAGGCTTTATCCATTGTGGAAGGGTGTGGAAATCGCAGGTGGGAAGATGAGCTTCAGACAACAATGTCCAGGTTAGAAAGAATGTCTGCTTCAGACATGTTATGCATGAGGGCAACTGGGCCGCTCACTTTCTCGCGGAGGAAAAGGTATCTGGGCTGAAAATTTACCATGGCCCATCTGATTTACCAAATGCTTCTAAGCATGCTTATTTCATGGACCTGTTTGGGTTGCCATCTTTCAGATTTATTTAATTTCCTTTTCTCTTTGGCTTTTTGTAGTAATTGGGTAAGGTTTGGTCTCCCAATTTTTACTTTAGTTTCTTCCTTTTTTTTGCTTATTCTTTGTAGCTTGATAGGAGATACTCTTTCTGAAGAGGTTTTTGGTATAATCTTCCTCTTCGTTTGTACTTCTTTTTTATGTCAATAAAATCGAGCAAATGTTCCCCGGCATTTGCCCCACTGATTTTGGTGGTTTGCCTTTCGGGTTTTAAAAAAATATGTGTGTGTGTGTATTTTTAATGGAGAAGACACATATCTATGAATTGGTTTAATAAAGACAATTGGAGAGTTTCAAAAAGTGACAGTTTCATTTTCATTTACCCCAGTGCCGCAAAGGCTCCCACCTATGGTGGGGTAAGGGGGGTCGGATGTACGCAGTTTCAAAAAGCATAGAGAGACTGATTTCGGATGACCCATAGTGAAAATCGCGTCCTAAATTGCATGGACTGACTGTTGCTTCATAACAAAGAAGCGCAGATAGTTTAGTGAGTCATTTTGTTTTATTCCATCATATTCTCAAGCCAAAAAATAATGAATCTTTGGCTCCATTGCAAATGATGGAAAATTTCAAAAAGTGACAGTTGAACAAGAAAAATGATTTTGTGCCGATGCAAAAATGTAGAGTGACAACTTGATGAAGTTTTATATGTATTTTGTTTGACAATCAATTTTTTCTTTATCCGCGGTGAATTAATGATTGTAATATATGTAGTACTTAATTATGCAAGTTTTTGTTGTTATTATTCAATGAAATTCTTAATTTTTGGTTTTTTAATTCTTATGATTTCTCCTCATAATTTATTTTTTGTCTTTCAAGTTAGACAGTTTATATTTACCCGTTACTCACTTGATCCACCCGATAACCCGTTCATAACCGATGGATTGGATGTAGATGTACTATTTAATGGATGATAGACGGGTGTGTGAAATATGAAAAATTAACGGGTGGACGTGGATGAGCGTCCACACGATCTAAATCCGACCGGTTGCCATCATCCACTTTTGTGGTGCTATAGAGTCAAGACAACTAGACAAGAACATCTCGTTGGGGCCATATATGTATTTTAGTCCGAGTTTTCTACGAACAATGCATTGGACACAATCATTATTGGCATAAAAGTTCTCTAAAGGTGAGGTATATTTTCAGCAACATTGAACATGACAACAACGCTACCAAACATAAACAAGACCAATATTTCATCCATAAAAAAGAAACAAGACTAATAAGGAAAATTAGCTGTCAAAACTCAAAAGACTGTCCCATAAGATTCCTTCACTATTTCGCGCTCGTGGTTCAGTAAGACATACACATGCACTTTCCAAGTCCATTCGTTCACTATTTCGAGCATATGAGAAGTTGTTGATCATGGTGATTTCATTGGTACAACGATCATATGTCTTATATTTATGCCGACTGAGATTTGGGGCGGAGATAGGGGGATGGAGCGAGCATCCGCTTCACAAAAAAAATGTGATGTACTACTCCCTCCATTTAATGATAATCAAATTTGACTAATGATATTTTTAATATGAAAAATATTTTGAATATAAAAATTAGAACAAAATGTTCCTTATTCAAAATATTTTCATAAAAGTGTAAAATTCATAAAAATATATCTATTGGAACAACTAACTTAAAAATGGATGTATTATTGAATCAAGAATTTTATTATATAACAAATGAAAAATAACTTACATAATACGACTTTGAAGCATGAATTGAGTACTTGAAATTAGCATGTGTAAAATAAATATGATAAGTTTTAATTCAAAGTGTTAAGATCCAGAGTTCCAACCTAAAAGATGAACCAGATAGGAAGAGTAGCCCAAAGTATGTCTTATTTAGTGTTTATTGTTTTTATAGTTTTTTGGTGTGGGACAAATACTTTAACAATATTGCAATTGACAATATTGCAGTGTATAAATGGGTCAAAAAGACTCTTAACAAGCTACCCTTAATTATGCATTTATGCGTGCTAAATAGGCGGTCAAACCACAACCGGACTTGCTTTGATACCATGTTAAGATTCGAAGTTTCATCCCAAAAGGTCAACCTGCTGATAGGAGGAGTAGCCCAAAATCTTATATAGTGTTTTATTGTTTTTATAGTTTTCCAGTGTGAGACAAATACTTTAACACAAAGTGGTCTTAGTACTGTAAATAAAAGGTATTTTTTTTAGAAAAAGCATAAGATGTTATTAGATCATATTACGTTAAAGTTTGAAGTATTTGAATTATTTATTCTTAGAATGAGTGAGCCATTATTGACTTTCAATGCTTTAAATTTTATTTTGTTATGAAAAAATGTAACTAGTGAGGTATCATTTAAAAGTCAATCTGTAGAAAAGAGTATTATATCTAATAATTTAATTGATTTAGGTTATGTGCAACACTAGAAATTGTAGTGTCAAATCACTCGAGATTGGGACCCATAAAATGACCCAAAAATAACCCAAAATTTCTTACATATAACATTTTAGATTAATGTGGCTTCTCTTGTCACATTAATTTTCTCTAGGGCGTAACTCGCCGCTAGGGTTATTCTCCGCTTTCAGTTTTTCCGAAGAGCGGCGCCGAGAGGCATTCGGTTGGGTAGCGGACGGGAGGGTCGGGTGATTGCAACTGGCGTCTTGGGGATTATGTTTCCTCGGTTGCAGCATGACGATCGTGCATCGGCTTCTGGTTCGGACGGTGGAAGTCGATGCTTCGGAGGCTGCAGGTGCGAGTTCTTTCAGTCGTAGGCACGATTGAGTTCTTTCGATGGAAGATATTGTTAATCAATATAAACATATGGTGCTAGGCGAGGACAATAAAGAACTGTTTTTTTATGGTGAAGGAGGGGAAGTGATGGCCGGCGAGGAGAAGGTGTCGTTTCCGGTGGTGGGGAAGATTCTCACGGATCGAAAAAACAAATTTCAGGTTTTCAAGGAGCTTATGGCATCTCTATGAACACCGGTTAAAAGTGTGTCAACCAAGGAAATCGGAGAAAAGAGGTATATCTTTACGTTTTATCATAATTTGGATATGAGATTGTGTTGGATGAAGGACCATGGTTGTTTGAGAGAAATCTGTTGATTCATAAAGAGATTAGGCCTGAGGATATTCCGTTAAAAATTAGTCTGAATGAGGCAGAGTTTTGGGTACAGGTTCATAATGTTGTTTATGATTTTATGAATCTAGGATCAATTAGGAGAATTGGTAACTATATTGGGAAATTTATTAGTTTTGATGAAAGCCAATTCGATGAAAAGTGGGAAGCTTATACGCGGATTAGAGTATCTATGGACATAAGGAAACCCTTGAAAAAGGGACAACTTTGAAGAAAGGGGGTATTAGGCATTGAGTAGATTTTAAGTATGAAAAACTTCCAAACTTCTGCTTTGTTTGTGGGATAATTGGCCATTTTGAGACATTCTGCCCAGTAGTGTATGAGGGAGATAATGTTCTGAGAGACAAAAGTTATGGAGTTCACCTTAGAGCTGGGGGTGGGGTGAAAACTAGTCCTATAACAGGTAATAAGTGGCTGGTTGAAGGGTCTTCAAGTACGGGGATAGGGATACCACAGAGAAGTGATAGTCAGGGTACAGGTGCTCAAGGATGGAAAGAGGATCACCATTGGCACCGGAACAAGCTCTATGAAGGAAGGAAATCCTGTAAGCCTGGAGGAATCATTGGGAGAACATAAGCGTAGAAGGATCTGGGAGGAGAAAGAACTGGAGGATCCAGCAAAGGGCCTGTCCTGCAACCTCAAATATGCTGGCGGGTCTACTAGTCTAGACCCGTCTCCTCACCGTTTTGTGAATTCGTGACAAGAGATTTAGTGAATTCCTTGAGGTTCTTTATTCGTGAATGTTGATACCCTTGTGGTATGTGGGAATATACTCCATCACCATCAAAGGAAATGTCTATGGTGAAGAGATGATTTACCCATCGAGAATCTGAGTTATATGGGTTGTGATTGTAATTGTGAAGGGATAATTTAGGTATTGCAAGTTGTTGCGTGGACGGCTGAATGGAAATGTTACATATCGATTTAGACGGTTATTTCAATCTAAGCTTTGTTCAACCATTTATCCAAACAATGTCATACCAAATGTCACACCAAACATAGCCTTGAGACAAGCATTTAAACATGTACTTCAACACAAATTGAGCTAAATAATAAAAACAGGCAGTCGTTATATCGTGGGAGTGACCATGGTGATTGGTGAGCATGGTACTGTCAGTCCCTGTTGCACGAATGTGGATATGGTGATACGCCGATACACGAATATGAATACGACAATACGACAGGTTTGGGCTTATAACCAGAAGAAATTAAATTGGTTAGAAACTACATCACAGTAAGAAAATATATGAAACAAACGAATTATAATAAAAAAACATAAGGAAAAACATATCAAGCGCAATTGATTTACAAGTGGAGTGGATTGAAACTTAATAATTATATGGGAGAAGAAGAAGATATGTTACTAGTTAATTATCTACCCGTTAAGAGGTACAATTGAGGAAAGAATACCGATTGAGGAGTTGTGGTCAGTAAGAGATGCGGTTGAAGAATGAGGAATGAGAAGCTGTGGTCGGCTGGTCGTAGGTCACTACTTGACTACTCTATTCTCGTATGTTAAATCATCCTTAGATATATGTATTCGTATTAAGTCCACTCATTTTATCAAGTTACATATACGAACTTAATACATATAGAATCTGTATCGACGAGTATTGATATCAGATGATATGTATCATATACGCGGATACAGCAATGTAATGAAGTATCGGTGCATCATAGACTGACACAACTAAGATGATGTCACTTAAACTAACTTTTAATTAAAAACGCGTGAATAGTAAATATATTTTTGTTTCAATATTTTTCTTAATGTAAATTCCATGCATTGAAATGTAACTCGTGTTGCTCCAAATGTAATTTCATGTAACGGCAAATATAACTGGTGCACTGAAATTTAACTCGTGTTACTCCCTCCAATGGTTATTCTCACCTTTCACATATCAAAATATAAATTGCATTGATTGTCCTTAGAAAGTTAGAAACCCTCCGGTGGTTATTCTCTCCTTTCACATATCAAAATATAAATTACATTGATTGTCCTTACAGACCGTGATAGTAAGTACTACGTATCTAAGAAAGATAAAAGTAATAGCTTGAGTATAAAAAATTACATAGTACAAGGTAACGATATGCTAAGATAAAACCAAATCGTGGATCCCTATCCACAAGATGTAAGATAATTATTTATAGTCAAAAATTTTGATACGACACCATTTTTTTTAATTTAATAAAATTAAAACCAACTCATCTTCTTCTCTGATCATATGCTTTCCTTCTTCATTGATATCGCCATTTGTTTATCTTCTTCGGCTAGCTGTCAGCCTATCAGGCCATGTATTTCCCTTCTTCGCACATCCATTCCACCATCTATTGCACTTTTGTGTCTATATGTCACCATTTATTTTCTCTGACTCTACCTTTTTTTACTTCTTTTCTTTTCCATAAATTCAAAACTGACTTTACTTGCTTCAATTTAGATTTGCATAAACTTAATTTACATTCGGACTGTGGTGGGAAACGACAAACCGATGGTGACCAAAAAATATTGACCAAAAAATGTTGAATTTGCAAAACAATTTGGGACGGTGATAATAAGCATTATCAATTTTTTTTAAGTTGCCTTGGGCTAGGGGGCGGTGATAATAAGCATTATCAATAAGAAGGTTTGACTTTTATTATTGGTTGACAAAAAAATGTTGACTTTGCAAAACAATTTGGGATGGAAAAAGTACTTAATTTAAGACACTTCCACTTGGGGCCCTTGCTCATAGAATGCTAGAAACTTGGAAGTGGGAAGTGGTCCTAAACTCCAAATCAAGGAAGTTTATAAGGCGGTTGGTTGAGGACTCGAATCAAACACATTAGTAAGCTGTGCCTGGGCTGTGCATACCAAGATGGAAAGCTGCAAAGACGAAGTAGCCACCGCCGGTGAAGTCGCCGTCGTGGTGGTGCCTCTTCCGGCTCAAGGCCATCTCAACCAGCTTCTTCAGATTTCCTGTCTGCTCTCCTCCTCCTCCTCCTCCGCCCTCCAGGTCCACTACCTCGGCTTTTCCATCCACACCCAACAAGCCAGAGTCAGGGCCAACGGGCTAGACCCGGAGAAAATATCCAAAATCCATTTCCACGAGCTTCCCACCCCTGAGCTGGACTGCCCTCCCCCGGACCCGGCCGCCGCCCTGAAGTTCCCCACCCACCTGCAGCCGCTCTGGGAAGCCTCTCACCTTCTCCTGCGCCGCCCCGCCGCCGACGTTCTCCGCGAAATAGCGTCAAAATCCAGAAGAGTGGTGATCATCCATGACTCTATCATGGCCTCGGTGGTTCAAGACGCGGCGTCCATCCCCAACGCCGAGACCTACTCCTTCAACTGCATCTCCGTCTTCTCCCTCCTCTCCCTCGTCTACTACCGGACGGGAAGGCCGTTCCCCGCCGTCGCCGCCGTGGAAGAAGCGGGGCTGAGGGAGCTGATGCCGGACCTGGAGGATTGCACGAGTTACGATATCCAGAGGCTGGGATCTGCCCAGCGGGAGTTCTTGAAGTTCCGGTCCGGCGAGATTCATAATACGAGCAGAGTGATTGAAGGGCCGTTTCCTGATGTGTACGAGCGGGAGGGGTTTTCCCAGAACCTGAAGCAATGGTTCATCGGCCCCATTCTGCCTCCGCTGAACGCGTATAATAAGAAGCAGAATGTGTGGTTGGATTGGCTGGATGAGCAGCCGCCGGACTCTGTTCTGTACGTTTCGTTCGGGACGATGACTTCCGTGTCGGATCAGCAGGTGAGAATGGGCCTATTCCAACGATGTTAAACATGACACCTCATTCACCTTCTAGCATCTTGGATAAAATGACATTTTTTTTCCGACAGGCAATAGAGCGTGGCAGATTTTTTATAGTCTTATGATCTTTTTATTATATATACCGAGTATTTTTTGTTTTTTACTTTTTATGTTTTATTATTAATTAAATTTATTTTGAATATTTTATATTTTTATTATAAATAAAAAATGATAAATAGAAATACGGGGAATATTATATATACGTAGTACTCCATCCGTTCTCTAATAGATGAGAGTATAGAGTTTGGCACAAGTCTTACGGGAAAGTAATTGGGGTAGTGTAAAAGGTGTAGTGGGTTGTGTTTGAATGAAAAAGTAGGAAAGAGAATGAAAAAGAAGGAAAGAGAATGAGAGTATATAAGTATATTTATTGAAAAAACTTTCCAAAAATGGAAAGAGGGCAAATATTCAAGAACACCCCAAAATAGAAAGTGAGACATCTATTAGAGAACGGAGGGAGTATTGTTTTACATACGGATGGAATATAATAATTAATTTCAGTTTACATTTTATGTTATTATTATTAATTAATTTTTTGATTATTACTTTATTTTGTAATTATAAATAGAAATACGATTTTCTTATCAAAATATGATAAGGGTAGAATATGAAGAGAGGATATTTATAATTATATTTTGGAAATATAAAAGTAATAGTACAATTTTTGTATTTTGCAATTGTTTGACTCATGTTCGAAGCAATTCTCCCTTATAAAAACTCAAACTTTTATCATAATAATGATAAATTGGCTTAAATATGTTTTTACTTTTGCAAATGAAGTCTTCTTGTTTTAAGTTCCTGCCATTTTTTTTAGTTTTTCATCATTATAATTTGTGTTGCTTTTATTTTTAGTGCATTTTCAATAACAATAAATTGATATTGATGACAAGGAAGAAACTCTGGAAAATAAATTCTTTAATTATATTTAAAAAAAAACATAAAAACACAAACTTTAATAATAATAATAATTCATCATAAGAGTTTAAACTGTTATCATAATTCATAATAATTTATGTAAATCCACTAAATTTTGTTCTAAATAACTTATAAATTTATCACTTTCTTTTAGAATTTGTTTGTGCGACAAAATTTTCAATTATTCCAACTTATTCAAAAATAATATAATTTTTATTATTATATATAGACTAGTTTTAGTTTCTATTTTTTTTATTAGTAGTTAAGATTATTTTTATTATTTTATGTTTTTATTATAACTAAAAAGATTATTTTCTTATTAAAATAAGGTGAGCATAGAATAGAGAGAGGGTATTAATATTTCTGTTTTGAGAATATAGATCTTATAATCTTATTTTTGAATTTTGACCACGCATGTTTTATTCCTATTTGAAGCGGCGGAGGTACGGGGTAGAGGTCTGCATATTTTAGATTTTACGATTTTTATTTCTATAGTTGGAGTATTTTTTCTCTTATGGTTTTATTATTAATTGATTTTTATTTTTATTTTATATATGTTGTTATTATAAATGAAAATATGATTTTCATGTAAATAAATGGTAAGGGTATTAATGTAGTATAGAAAGAGAGTTAGAGAGGTACTCATATTTATATTTTGGAAACATAACACTAATAGTCCTATTTTTGCATTTTTACACTATTTTACTCAAGCAATTTCCCTTATAAAACTCAAACTTTTATCACAATGATAACTTGACTTAAATGTGGTTATACTAATGACTTAAACATCAGTGGGTGGAGAAATATGGAGTGAAAAAATGTATACTAAAAAAAATGAAGTTGCCCCAACCACGTGCGTAGATGGGGGCCAACCCTGGCCCCGCCCAACGCAAATTTTTAAAATCTTATTTTAGTGTAAAAAACTTTGTATACAAATTTTTCAAAACTATTCTTTGTACCTACTTAGTCCGATCAAGTGTCTTGGTTCCGTCTATGACCCCAACTTCAGTCCATTATTGCCCTAAGGTAAATCCCCTTGTATAACCCAACAAACAAGGCATCAAGCTTATGAAAGCTTAGGTGATTTAATCCTATTATCCAGGGGCGTATCGTAGTACAAACCCGGGGGCAACTCCCCCCCCCCCAAACAAAAAAAAAATCTAGGATATATATACACGAAAGATAATCTTCGCCCCTCAAAAAATAATGTTCTCCCACTAAAAAATATTTTGAACCCCCCAAAACGGACTTCCTGGGTCCGCCCCTGCTACTATCCAATTAACTAAATTTAAAGTACTGTTAACATCTATTGGCTAACTCAGGTTACAGAGTTGGCAAAGGGGTTGGAGCAGAGCAAAGTGAGGTTTCTTTGGGTGTTAAGGGATGCAGATAAAGGGAACATCTTTTCGGGCAAACCGAGAAGCATTGAGCTGCCAGAAGGGTTTGAAGAGAGGGTGATTAAATGGGGAGCGGTGGTGAGGGAGTGGGCACCGCAGCCCGAAATTCTAGCACACCCATCCACGGGAGGGTTCATGAGCCACTGCGGGTGGAACTCGTGCATAGAGAGCATCACGCACGGCGTGCCCATGGCCGCATGGCCCATGCACTCGGACCAGCCGAGCAACGGGTTCTTGGTGACAAGAATACTGAAAACGGGGCTGATGGTTCGGGAGTGGGGGGAGCATAGAGAGTTGGTCAAGGCATCCAACATTGAGAATGTGGTGAGGAGACTTATGGACTCTCAAGAGGGAGTTGAGGTGAGAATGAGGGCTCAAGCTTTGGGAAAAGAGGTTAGGAAATCAGTTCAGCCCGGAGGCGTGTCTCACATCCAACTACACTCTTTCATCGCCCATATCACTCGAACGTAACCGGGGATATATATATATATATATGGATGGTTACGTTATTTTCTTTCCACACCACAAAAAAATACGAGATTGACAAAAAAATTTGACATGGATCTGCCAAAATTTAAAAAGGAATTGACGGAGATATGTCAATTCTGCGTCAATCCCGTAACTTTTTTGTTGTGCAATTTTTTTATAAACTTAATAACGTACTAGCTTGCTATTAAAGTTATTACGTACGTATTTGTTAAAGTACTTAAAGTAGAATGCAGATTCATGCCACATGTATGAATAATTGAATCTTATCTCACTCGTTATCAGACTTATCATCAGAAACATGATATTGGCTGATTATATATTCTATAAATAGGCACAGAGCATTCCTAATTCTGAACTCGATAAATAGACACATGCCACGTTCAATAATAATAGTAGGGATATTGATCAAATTAGAGGACATATTGCCCGCCACCTCTCCACTTACACCAATTAAAATATAATCCATAATACTACGTACGTACGAAGTAATTATACATTTGTGATTAAAATAAAGTTTATATACAAAATGTGATGTCTGATTATACAAATGTATTTGAATACGATGAATATTTATGAGAAAACTCTTTAAATACGAATATCATAATCAAACAATTAAAATACTCCTTCTGTCCCGAAAAGGTTGGCCAAAATTGACTTTCACATGAATTAATAAAGTAAAAACTGTGTGGTTAAAATTTGTGCAGTGAGGACAGAATTAACTTTAGCCACAGAAAGATGCAATAACGATACTACGTGTGATACATGCCATAGATATGGTACCTTCACTCTTTTATGGGATTCTTCAAAAAATAATATTTCCTCCGTCCCACAAAATTTGGTCATTTTGGAAAAAAGTTTGAACATCGATTTTAGTTATTATATTTTTTTGAAACTTATAATTTTATACTTTCATAAAAATATTTTTAACAAAGAACATTTTCATATAATTCTCATTTTTTTAAAAACAAAATCAAATTAAGAAATATAATTGATCAAACTTGACCACCATTGATAAAGAAAAGTCAAACGGCCAAATTTATGGGACGGAGGGAGTACTACATACTATATACTATGTACAAGATACAAAGTGTAAATTCTGCCACGTTGTAGTGCTTATTAGCTTGCAAATCGCAAGTATAACTCCTAGGAGTCTAGGACAATTTTATATGCAAAAGTACTCATCAATCTAGATGTTCAATAAAGTTCTTATCAATAATATAGCTAATCCAAACTGTAAGATTGTTTTCCTATTTTGATAGCCATACATTCATTTATGAGGCATAGTGGTACTAAGAATAAATAAATACGTGATTTATTTGAACCATATATATTTGGCATGATAGATTATAGTATTAAACACTACATTTAGCCTATTTCTACCAAAAAAAAACATCTATTTATTATTTTATGCATCATTCAAACAACGGAAAACAATTCAAAATAATATCAATGGCCAACCAAAGATATTACATACTCGCTTTGCGGTGCCACTAAATTTTACTATCTTCCTTCCATTTTGGTTAGTCACTTTTGACTTTGTAGTAAGAGATGATAAACTTGAACCAATTCTTGTAACTAATACATTTATGCAAAATTTAATAATTTTATACTTTTATGATATTACCTCCGTCCCACTAAGATTGTCCTATTTAACATTTCGGTCTGTCCTACTAAGATTATCTCATACATTATTTGGTAAAATTTGTGTGACTCTAAATCATTTTTACTTTATTCTTACTTTATCAATTCAATATCAACCATATAAACCACTTTTTATAGATTTGCGTGTCACTTCCTCTTGTCCTATTGTTAGTGGAGTAAAGGGAGTACTATTTTTAATAAAGAACATTTTCAAATTCATCATGTTCATATTATCAATATTTTTGTATACAAATATATAACCAATCAAAATTAGACACCTTTGACTTGAAAAATCAAGTTTGACTAATTAAAATGGGACGGTGGGAGAATTAAATATCCTCATTAAGATGTTCCAAAAAAATTGTCATTTTCTTTTAAAGTGACAATTTGAGATTGGATAAGTTTTACGGGGTGAATGGAGAATTCAGAATACTAAAGAAATTACTACGTAGTACTCCTTATTTCATATCGAACCATTCAGATTTCAAATACATAATAGAAAATGTGAACTTCCAAGTACAAGTATAAATATACATAAACATAAACATAAACGAAAAAGTGTAGCACAAAATTCTCCGATTTATTTTTTTGTTTATACTTCATAAGTTCATAGTAAAGGTAAACATTTTGTATCGAAAGCAATAGGCATTTAGGCAATATAATCGCATACTTTACCAGCCATTGACAAAGAAAAAGAAGGCTCTCTAAATTAGACTAACAACCAGAAATGAAACACACAAACACGTGATTAATTTCTGGTCACTGGAGAATCAGTCTGCAACAATGAATCATAGCATTTTTTCGACCAGCTGCACGATGCGAGTCACTGAATTGAAGGGTAAAACCGCTATGAATCATAACGTTTTCACTCATGGAAAAAATGAATCAGAAATCTTCCAAATAAAAGGTTTTCTATGAGCACAGCTTTCATCATACGCCACACAATAACTATAGCGCTACACTGAAAGTAATGAATCAAATCACTCTATGCCATGCCATCTCCTCACAAGCGTGCTGCCAGAGCCTCCCCTGGAGTGAGGTCATCTCCAAACGTCATTGAAAATTGATACGATCCAAATTCCAAATCCCGCACGCATTTCATTTCAAGAATGATTGGATCAAATCGTTGTTCGGATGGGGGGGAGGGGGGGTGATTTCATTATTTTCATATATCCAAAGCCTATACTAATATTGCAATTGACTTGCCTAGAAAAGCTCCTTGAATTAATTCTCAAGAGATTAAAGGTCTGCAGACATCACACTAAAGATACAAATGATATAGGGCACGAGCGGGATCAAGAATGATTCAGGTAATGGTAAAAGTTTATCAAATTTTATTCATAAATCATCTCACAGTCACTTTAGTCACTTGAGGTAAATTCGAGATAATTACACCACTCTCTGAATCTTTCTCTAACCCCTCTACCTAGGTATATCATTGTCTTGTATATATTAATATCTGCCGATAAACTCCCCACAACTCCAAGCTTTTCATGCCTTCGGGCTGCTAAGGTTCTTGGTGTCCTTGTCTTTAATATACCATTCCGGTAAAATCTTTGAAGCGTGGGGAAAGAGATCCCGATACGCATTCTTGATTGTCCCCTCCGCAACAGTAGTTGCAAGAGCTATATCTGCATATGTATAAACTTTTGAGTGACAAGGGGCTGTTTAATCAATGAAGACTTTTAAAATGCTGTTTTTCCAAAATGTGGTTTTTGGGTTTGAAAAGGTTGTGATTTCCAAGTATGGAGGCTTGGTATAGTTGTTTAATACTAAAATGTTGCTCTGAAGTAGTTGAATTTTTTGGATAGGATCTACTTAAAGTCTTCTGGGCAAAACGTTCTTAAAGAATATTTTGACACTTCCGGAGCTATTTGAGCTTTACCGAAAGACACCCAAAATGTTTGAAAACATCAAACCCTTGATGCAAAAGTATTTGACTTCAAATAGCATTTTGAGCCCTTAAGTGGACCTTTGTGAAGAGGAACAAAATTAACAATAATTTCTTAGGGTTGTCAATATTGAAATTAAAATGTTACTCCTTATGCTCCCGCATTTTATACTTATGCATCCTACTGAAGATCATAATCCTTAGCTGCTATCTAGCATGAAGAACCTATGATACCAACATGGTGCTAAGCTAAAAGACCTATGCATCCCTTTCAAGATACAGTATAACAGGGATAACAAATTAGAAGCAGATAGATGTCCAAACCTTTCAAGGGTTTCTTTGCATCAGAAAGCTGGGTGAGCATGTAAATAATTGCAGCAGCAATAGATATAGGACTCCTCCTGTGGAAGCAATTAAAAGAATGTGTTTTAATTGAATTACACTCTGTGTACATAAGTGAGAGGCAAAATATACATGCATAGCATCAATAGTATATTTCGACAGTAATCAGTTTAAAATTTTAAATTCCATAAACAGGACTAGAACATAAACTAACAAAAAACAGATAAATAAAAACATGTTTTTTCTTCAATATGTGACTATTTCAATCCTACAAGATGGGTTAAGTACTTCAATTATTTTTAAGACATAACGAGGATACTCTGATTTGTACATTACTCATATTTACATAAAAAGGCTGTATGACACAGTTCAAATAATTAAAGAGTTTTGATATGTTCGCTATTTTCACCCAGCTATTTGTTGCCATGTTTTTCTTTGACATGATCGAAAATATGGGGGGGCTAATCCGTTTAATCTCCTTAACTACACTGCTGATGAAACAAATGTAACACAACTGTTGCAACTTTTTAGGGAGCTAGAGTAATTCCTTTGCTGTTTTGTTTTGCAAATTCATTAATAGCACAATAAATCAACCATCAATGCCCATGTCTGTTTTTAATAGAAAATAATCAGGCAATCAATGCGGCAATGCCAAAAGGATTTCAACCCTGATCAGTTTTCACTTTCATGGTTTTCTTGGAACACAATAAATGAATAAATCCGCAAGAAGTTTCCCATAAGTAACTTTTTCAAGTAACAAAATCATGCAAGCAATATGCAATGCATTTTGAAGAAAGTTCAAGCCATGGGTTTGAATGGATGAACATTTTTGGAGGGGTTCCGTAGTGAAGGTTTAGTTGGGCTCAGTCTATATTTTTTTTTCCCATGATAGCTCAGTCTAAATAGAATATTCCTAAAAACAAATAAAAGAGTATTGAAATGTTATCAACCAGATAAAGTATTTATCTTTCGATTTTTAAAAAATCTCAAATGTAAATCAAAATATAGATGAAGTCCTCCAAAGTCTTCCACCAACCCGCCAGAACCCTCCATCCAAAAAGGCCCTATAGCACACGAGCTAATCACAATAAATAAAAAGTATAACCACAGCAGTGTAAGAAGTGTTTGCATAGGCTATATGTTTCACCCCATTCTACAGAAACTGGTGAAGTTCAGATAACAAATTATCGAAGTACAAAGGGAGAGGGAGAAGATAGCATAATGGTACCTAATATCGAACTCCTTTGACATAAGGACAGTTTCTTGAACAGCTTTAATTTCTTCATGGTTCATACCAAGGTTGGAGCAAAAACGCCTCTGGTTGATACGCATGTCAGCATATTAGGTAACATAGGTAAAACAACAAAAATGGATTCTAACATAAAATATGTAGACTATGAAGAACAAAGTTGCACCACAAGATTAGTCACAAGATCTTGGGTTATGAGTCACTAAAGTTACCAGGTAGTCCTCTGCATG